CTCCTTCGTAGGGGTTTTATGGATCTCCCTAACCGTTCAAATACATTTCTCTTTGGTGCGGCCTACTCTAATTTGGTCTGCTACCCAAGTTTGGTCGGTTTCTCCTACCACGGAGGACACCGACGACATTAATTTGAGCCGGGAATGGCTCTGTATCAATTTTCATCTGCGGCTTATCGGCCAACTATAGGCGGCCTTCCTTAATAGCCTTTTGTACTACATTTTTGAAAGTGATATAGCTCCCAACCTGATATCCGAACAAGACATGCCATTTGCAATAAGATTTTCCACCTAATTCTTCGTCGGATGGCATTTTATGGCTTTCTTTGAACTGGAGCTGATTATCCTTCGCTGTACCTTGGGATTGGCCTTCTTACTCCGAGGTACTTTGAGCACCGGGCAAGTATACGCCTTTCCTTGCGATATTTCTGCCAGGAACGTTTCCTCTGGCTCCTCCGGGCAGTCTGTTTTGTCCTCTTGGACTTGGACAAGATGTGCTGTATTTCTGAATTTTAGCATAGCTGCTTGAGAATCCCGGAGGAGCTATTTAGCCTTAACTGCTTTTCTAATAAGCTGCAGGAGGTCATTGCATTCCTGCAGGGCTATTTTCTCTCGGAGCTGGTGTGTCATATTATCGATAGCCATATTCACCACTTGATTTTCAGATATCCGAACCTAGCACAGCTCTTCGGCCCTGCGGAACCTCTCTAAAAACTGTTCCAGCGGTTCGTCGTACTTTTGCCGTAGGTTGGTCAGATTTGAGACCGTCACCTCCGGCAGCGGATTATAAAAGCATTCATAGAACGCTCTTTCGAGGTCCGCCCACGTGTTATAGGAATTTGGCGGCAAAGACGCATACCACGTAATGTCGGCCCTCTAAGGGACAACGACAATAGCTGGAGTTTGAACCATTGGTCCTAAACTCTCATCCGCACTGTGTTGTGAACTGACCGATGTGTTCAACGGTGGACCATAAATCCTCACCTAAGAACAACGTAAATTTAGGGACCCGTTCATTCCGGGGTAGCGGGTGATCAATGGTAATCTGATCCACAAATGGCCGTTGATAATGCGGCCGAGCGGGAAGCCGGATAGAATCGCCATACAGCCTCCGAATCACTTCCTCGATAAACTGCGGGTTAATAATCGGCCGCGGCGGCGGAGCAACTTTGGTGTATCCTCCAAGCTGCCCCGAGCTATGCTGGACGCGAGGAAAATATTGTTGATGGCCCTATGGGGGGTAAGCCAGGGGTGGACGTCCTCGATTCCTCTCGGCTGGTACTCGTGGAGGTGCTGCCGGTGGAGGGACAAAATTTCTGAAATTGATCAACGAACCCTACTGTGCAAGTCCGTACCCCTGCTTTGCGGCTGGTCCGGCAGGGTGAGCTTTCTGGTATACTGCATGCCTCTAGGAGGAGGCGGAATGGTTAGAGCTTGTGCACCCGAGCCCCAAGGAACTGCTACAGTCGACGGAGCTGAGCCCCATTAACCCGGAGGAGCTGAAGCTGCCCCCAAGGCAGATTCAGAGGTCGGGCGGATGCTTCCCAAGTCATCCCCGGAGCTAGAGGAGCAGCCGGAGATGTTAAGGCCGTGGTCGGCTGTGGCCCCCAATGGTCAGCCATGTCTCATCCGGCAGGGACATTTCATTGACCATTTGCCCTCGCGAGCGATGTGGGCGTGCTCACGCCACCGAACAAAGGATTATTTTTCCATTGGGCGGCTGGTGGCGTGTATCCGCTATTCCCCGGATGTCTTTGATGTGGCGGCGGCCTTAAGATGGCCTGCCCTGAGGACCGCCAAGGTCTTTCAACCACTGTTTCATCCCGGTGGTTGTTTTCTTCATTTTCTTTACTTAGTATGGTGACGTTGCTATATTGGAGTGTCGTTGGAGGGTATCCAGACGTGCCCCCCTATGGCACCTTCTTCGGAGGTGCGTTTTTATCATCACCAAGATCGGCCGCCTGCACTTTACCCTTGCGCAACTCTTCCTCTCTCGCCCATGCGATCCCATTTCGAATAGTTGGTTTCAGGATGTCTACGAGATATAGGGAAAATGTCAATGTTGACTCGTGGAAGGCCGTTTGGATCTTCCCACGGATCTGATTTTGGAGGATGCTTGCAGAAATGGACAACATCCGTTCTTCACTCCCCGGAGCAGCAGAGGACTCATCCTGCGCAAGTTCTCCGGGCGCGCGTGACGCCGAAGTTTTACCGGAAGTTTCTTTATCTTTCGACATTGCAGATTTTTTCAGCAAGGGTAACTTGCGACTCCTTTGTTGCATAAAAAGTGCGAGACTCCTCGGAGTCCCATTGGGAGTGCCAATCTATTGTCGCTAAATTTGTCGATGATGGTCCGATAAATCTAGGCCAGTCGAAATTGACAATAATCGGGTTCCCCAACCTACTCAAAAAAGTTTTCAGGCTAAGTCTTGCGATAGGGTAAAAATAAATTGATCGAAAAATGCAGGAAACACTATGCTACACTGAAGAAAAAAAAAAACGTAGGAATGCTTAGTGAAAGGAATTAAATTTACTTGGGTAATCTAATGCAACAAGAATTTTAGGAAAAGGAAAAACAATAATAAAGCAATAAATTGCAGGATGAAAAAAATGGAAAGAAAAGAAATGAATCTTATTGTTCTGGATGGGGTGGATTGGATGTGTGTTGTTTCCTCCTCTATTTGCTCCTTTTAAATCACCTTTCCCCACGAATTTAGGAACTATCTTAATTACTCCTCAATTATTCTTTATCCACATAACCCATTCCCCCGGAACGGTTCCACGTCAAGATGTTGGGTCAATGGACTGCCAATCTAAGTGGGTTGCTTCTCCTCCGGGTTGGTTTTGTCAAGCTTTGGCCTGTTTCTGGTTCATCCAGGCTGGACTGTTGGGCTGACTTTGTGGATCTTTGAGTTTGTCTTGTTCTGAGTTGGACCAAATCCAATGGGGATAACAATCATATAATCAAACAAATTGAATTTAATATAATTTTATCTAATATTCAATCACATAGAAAAGTAAATATTATATTAATTAATCTATTAATTATATAATTTCTCAAAATAAAATAATTAAGAATTTATAATCTCATCTTTGTAAACGCAAACTTATATTTCAGGCGGTTCATTAACCTAATAACATTGAAGCAGTAATAAAGCAAGTCAAATGGTAAAAACAATATACAAGTTGGCTGTTTGATTTGGCGTAATAGATAGTTGGCTCCCACCACTAACTAACTGTATGTATATATATACATGTATATGCCAAATTGTAGAGAGAGGGAGAGCAGCAGCAGCACTCTGTGGGCAGTGAATGTTTGTATTGTATTGTATATGAAAGTGACATGTATCTTATTGAATAATCTAATCTAATCTAATCTAATCCAATTCACCTTAAGAGGGAAGACATAGATTAGCACATGGAAACACTAGCAAATTAAAAGCAATTCTTAGCCTTTGAGGAAATTAGATTAGATTAGCAAAGTTAAAGTTTATTGGCAGGCAGCCAAATACTAATAAGCACTACATATATATATATATATATATCACCATTTTATTGCTTGTGATGTTACTTAACCCATGCCCAATCTCACATGCCTAATTCTAATTCTAATTCTAAATCCATTTTTCTGTCTTATCCTGTTTTTACACAGATATTCCCAAGTTTTAGGTATCATCGTCATCATCACAACTTTCCTGTGGTTGGAGCAGATCATACAAGACATAAAATTATTTCACTTCAAGATCAATTAAAGGTGCCATAAATGAAACAAGAAAATAGAAGTACATTAAAAAAAAAAAAAATTCACTAGAAAATAAGAATTTTTTTTTCTTTTCTGTAAAATAGATAATTAAGTTGAGAAATATAAAAAAAAGATATAGTGATTTGAATGAATCAATAAATAAGAAATGTTAAATCATATAAGAGATTGTTTTAGTAGGTGAGAATTTATAAAAAAAATATTACTAGTAATATTTTGTTCAAATAATATAAATTAAAAGTAGTATTTTTGTAACATCGTATTAGTATAAATTAAAAACGATAAAAACTAAATATTTAAATAATAAATTAGATTTCATAGTTTTAAAAATCAGAATATTTTAATTTTAAAAAAAATAATAAAAATTAAATAATAAATGAACACACCACGTAATTTATCTTTCGTATATGAGAAAAATAAAAAATAAAAATAAGGAATGTGAGATGATATACTTCCTCCGTCCCAATAAATAGTTTTGGTTACCATTTTTGTCTGTCTCAAAACAATAGTCTCATTTCTATAAATAACTATATCACCGTAAAACTATTCCTACATTTTAATTATTATTACACAATTACGATTACTTTTTACAGTAATATACTCACAAGGACAAAAAAAAGTCATTTATCATTACTTTTTACCGACTACCAATATAATATTAATATTATTTAAATCTCGTATCCAACACAATAACACTAAACTTTTTGAGACGGAGGGAATATTTCTTAAGTTTAATTTATCTGATAAAAAATAAAATAAAAGAAATGAATATATTTTTATTTTCTTACTCTCAATACCTTTAAATTTCTTTAAGCATTCCGTTTCACAATGACTAATCTCACCTAGGAAACATTTAACAGAATTGAGGAAGAAAAAAACATCACCTTACAAGTTAGAACCAAACTAACTATTAGCATTCAATATTTTTTTAAAAAGAAAAGAGGCGGTTGTTTCTCATGCTTCTACGCCTTTCCTAAGTATATTTTATGGATTCTTTTTGGTGGTCGTTTATATTATATTTCTTAGGAAGCGAAAACAGAGCCTGCGGACAGCAACTTGTTCCAATCAGACAAATCAAATTGGCCAAATGATTTTATTACAATTGATATACATCGCCTTCACCAGTGGTCCTATTCCTTCCTTCCTACCTATCTATGAACACAGTCTCAGCCTCATCCCGATTATATATATATATATATATATACACACATACTTAGTTTCCCTCCTTGCATGAATAGCAGTATCGAGAATTTTCTTTACTACTTCCATAGATGAATCTATCCTACTCTACTCTTACATTAAAAGCTGTCATAGAAGAGAGGTGATTGAGGTTGTCGTCGCCGTCGTGGTTGTCCTCAGAAAAGTCATTTTTGTTGAGGTGTTGCCGCAGATCAATCGATCTCCTCAGAATGGCTGCAAGAAAAATCCTTCGGCGAAGAGTGATCGGCAATATTTTCATTCCAAACAAAAACTTGGATTCGCAAACGGAGATATCTCTCCAAGAGTATTCGGTCGCGCAACAAACTTTCACGTGCGGTTCTTTTTCATGCCCGTAATCCATACTACATGTATATATATATACATACATATACACACCTATAACTTGTCGCCGATATTACTTCAACCTTTACCTTTATTCTGTCAGTAATATTTTTGTTATATTTTCCTTAATCACAAACGTTTTTTCTTATTGAGGAAAATCTCTTCTTTTTCTTGTTAAAACCTGACTTCCATCTCTGTGGTTGCTTCGTTGTCCCGGAACAAAAAAAAAAAAGTGTGTTTGTAAGCTCATGGAATGTAGGAGGTGTTGTGCCGCCGGACAACTTGAATCTCGAGGAGCTGCTCGACACTGAAAACACCATCACAGATATATATGTTTTGGGGTACGATGATTGTGATCGATCCTCAGTTTTCTCTAATGAAACAAACAAGAAAACAAACGGACAAGTTGACTTTTGGCAGGTTTCAAGAAATTGTCCCTCTTAATGCTGGGAATATTCTTGCACCAGAGAATAGCCATATTTCAAGCAAGTGGAATTCTCTAATCAAAGCAGCTCTCAACAAGAGGTCAAAACTAGTCGTCAACGAGGAGGAGGAGGAGACGCAGAAGGCGCCGCAAAAGGCAGATGGCGGAGGAGAGGCGACGACGCAAAGAATTCATCCTGTGAAGATGAACAGCAACGCGATGGATTGGAGGTCGACGAGAATTCCTGAATTAGAATTCGAATGCATAATTAGCAAACAAATGGTGGGATTATTCATTACAGTGTGGGCGCGACGCGACTTGTGCGCTTATATCACCCATCCAACTGCCTCGTGCGTAGGATGTGGAATTCTCGGACGCCTCGGAAACAAGGTAATATGTATGTATGTATGTATATTACAACATAAGGACAATAATAGTAATAACTCTCGTATTACTCTTACACTCACACTTGCACTTGATAACAACAGGGTTCAGTCTCCATCAGTTTTCGGCTGCATGAGACGAGCTTTTGTTTTGTGTGTTGTCATTTGGCTTCAGGCGGCAAAGAAGGCGACGAGCGGCAAAGAAATACAAATGTAGCCGATATACTGACGCGCACCGTATTCCCTGCGCCACAGCGCAACCATCATCATCCTCTGCCTACGAAAATTCTACACCATGAGTATGCCATGCCAGACATTTATATCTATCTATCTATCTCTATATATCTCCAATTGGATTTTGAATCTCCATTTCTCTCTTGTTTTTGGTCACTTCGTTTTTGTTTCGATATTTCCATTTGAATTGGTTAGGAAGAAACACACATGAGACAAAATCAGTATCTTCCCTTGTCCTTCTTTTAGTAGAAAGAATTTCTCATGTTTCAACTAGCCAAAATGGATAGTGTCATGCTGATCATGTCTGATTTGCCTAATAAACACATAAAAAATATACAAGACATGTCATGATATGCTTTTATTTACGTAACACAACATATATTTGTGGCAGGATCATCCTTCCTACTTGTAGGTGTTAGGCCCAGCCCACACCCAAGCCCAAAATCTTTGGGCCTTTTGGGGATTTTTTCTTTTATTATTATATATAAAAAAATGTTATAAATATATGATAATTTTAAAATTTGAGTTTTTTTTTTTAATTTTTATTTATATATTGTTGTAATATTTCATAAAAAATATAATTCTACATCCGAAATCTATTTTCATTTTCTTTATATTACATGTCAATCAAGCCTAATTTGTTTTTTATGAACCCATTTTTATATTAAAAACTCAATTAAATAAAGGTTTTTTTTTTTTTTTTTTTTTTTTTTTTTTTTTTTTTTGTAGTTCGGAGCCCATCAAAATCTGTATGAATATATTTCTTATATTGAAATCAATAGTAGCATGTGGCGTGTAGAAACTATACGACGTGATGTTAGTTCAAGTACAATATTTTTATTACATTAACATAAATCATATAGAATTTGTTGTTATATGGTGTATTGTCACTGCAAGAAATTATCAATTTTGTAACGAAATTTTTTTGTTACTAAATTCATTTTTTCCGTTACTAATGATATTAGATATGGAATTAGAGATGGAATTACGTTAGCTACGTGAACTTTAGTAACGGAATTCCGTTACAAATATACTATTTTCTTGTAGTGTGTGTAGCATTATATTTGGTATAATGGTGGCCTTCATCTAACTCTACAAGTATTTTCCAACCATTGTTCGTACAGTCGGATCATTTGGCTCGGCGACTTGAACTACAGAATTTATCTTCCTGAGGCTACAACCCAATCCTTGGTGAAGAATAAGGAGTGGAGGATGTTGTTAAGACATGACCAGGTAACACAATACAAGAACAAACCTGCTGTCCTAATGTTTGAAAGAAAATCTTTCCAACTGTGCCTATGTGTTAAAACAGCTGAAAGCAGAACTGGCCAAAGGCCGCGTGTTTGAAGGTTGGCACGAAGAAGAAATCGAGTTTGCGCCCACATATAAATACGACCAAAACTCAGATGACTATTATGGAAGCAGCCATAACATGAAAGCCACAAGGAAAAGGTCTCCGGCATGGTAAGCTGGAAGGAATTTTTATTACATGTTGTCGAATTCCACAACACATTAATTGTAGCAGCATCTGATGAGGGGTTCAAAATCTCTTAGGTGTGACAGGATAATTTGGTTTGGAAAGGGATTGAAGCAAATACAGTACAGCAGAGTTGAGTCTAGATTATCAGATCATCGACCCGTTCGAGCAATTTTCATTGCACGTGCTAAGGAATCATGACTAGATAAAGAGACAAACTCCAGATTCTTGATTAATCCATCAAGTTGTCCCCCATCAAATATGTAAGATTAAATATAACTCTACTTTAAAATTTATAAGCAACCATGCATATATAAATGCCTTCAAACTCCACGTCGATTACGAAACATGAAGAGATGAAGAAGGGAAAGGATAGTGCACGAATATGAGTACATGAATCGCTGAAAACAAGAAATTAAACTACACAAGTCAAAAGAGAATAAACACATATCACAAAAATTAAAATGATTGAATGCTTAGGAACCAGCTATTCTTACAACATTAAAACGTCAGAAGAAGGGGATATATAGCTGAACAAGAACATTTGCAGATCAAAGACGAAGGTTGATTTTTTTATTAAAATTAATTTAAATAGAAGGTTAATTTATTAATAAAACGAAAATTGAAACAACTAAATATTTATAAGTCGAAAAGCAAAACAAGAAAACCCAGAAAAGTAGAAAAATGCAAAGCTCTAAACGATCTCGGAAGGCCAAATAAAATAGAAAGCACGCCACTATTGGGTTGTTTGGGATGAGGCGTGTGAATTTTGTCCAAAAGGCATGAAGAAAACCAACAGTTATCATAAGTTAATCACTGGTTTTCCATACTGGAATCAATCCTTAATTGAATTTATTGTAGCAGGTATTTCCAGGGATGGACCTAACCACATTCAAATCAAAGATGCACTCATAATCACAGATTTATCATGTAGGTCGAATAAAATTTTACCTGTTGGAATTCTTACTTTGAGAAAAATTTGATTAGTTAAAGATTCAGCTTTCTTGCCCTTAAATAACAAATATTTAACCTAGTATTCATGTGGATAACTATTTGATTAAAATCGAATTTCGATCAGAGAGAAATAGGCTGAAAAATGAGTATTTGATATTGTATTCATGCAGCAGGAAAGTTGAGTAATAGAAATTATTTTCCATATTTATTGGCATTAGAACTTTATGCTCCACAGTGAATACTATGAAAAGAGATCTTGGTTATGACTTATTAGTTAAGAGATCTTGGTTATGACTTATTAGTTATTAGGATACGTGTCATTATTTTGTATAAACACATTATATATATAATGATAGGTGTCATTTAATTGCATTGATGAATCACCCAATTTGATGACTAATGGTTTTTGTAAATGGTCTATAAATATACCTAAATCTTGTGTACTAATAGGTATGATTTATAAAAATTTTATTTCCACTTTGTCTCTCTCTCGGCTCTTTCCATTCTCTCTCTCTAAATTATATACAAACACTCGTACATATATATACATATATATTATACATTATTACTATAGTTATATTTGATATATTTCATAACACGTTATCAGCACGAGGCTTTGCTGAGGAAGTGCATATAAAGATAGCGTATTTTTTTTGTTGTTGTTTTTTGTTGTATTACTCGAAAGGTTGCGGAATTTCTGGTAAATATTTATTTTCTTTTAACAATGTCTAATATAGCAAAATTTGAATTTCCCCCACTGGCAATTACTGGAAATAATTATATGCCGTGGGTAATGGATGTCGAAATGCACCTCGAATCCATGGGGCTTTCGAAAACAATAATTAGTGAAAATGAATGCACAAATCAAGAATGTGCAAAGGCAATGATTTTCTTGCGTCATCATATTGACAAAGCCCTGAAAATGAAATATTTAATGGTGAAAGATCCATTTGAATTATGGACAAATTTGAAAGATCTGTTTGGACACTTGAAATCTGTTCTATTACCAAAAGCGAAACATGCATGGCAACACTTGCGTTTGCAAGATTTTAAAACAGTTGCTGATTATAATTCCATGATGTTCAAAATCACATCCCAGTTAAAATTTTGTGGAGAAAATATTTCTGATAGGGATATGTTGAAAAAAATATTTACCACGTTTCATGCCTCTAATATAGTTTTACAGCAACAATATCGAGAAAGGGGTTTTAATAAATATTGTGATCTTATTACTTGTCTACTTGTTGCTGAACAAAATAACGAATTATTGTTAAAAAATCACGAATCGAGGCCAACTAGTGCGAGTCCATTCCCTGAAGTGAATGCGACTCAGTGTTTAAATAATATGCCTAGATTCTACCGCGGACGAGGTCGCGGACAAGGCAGTGGACGTGGATTTAGTCGTGGACGTGGATTTGGTCGTGAACGTGGAATGAGTCTTGGACGTGGAGCCGACCGTAGACGAGGTCGTGGCAGGTTTGGTTCATATTATCACTGTCAGGGATATTTTGATGAGCAGGAATCGAATAGGCCTATGAAGCGGCTTCAGAATGATGTTGGTCAGAGTTTAAAGAAAAACGAGGATAAATGTTATCGTTGCAGAATGATAGGACATTGGTTCAGAAATTTTCGTCCCAATTCTTATTTCGTTGAGCTGTACCAAAATTCCCTGAAACAGAAAGATAAAGTACCCGAAGAAGTTAAAGCACCGGAAAATGTCAATCCCCAAGAAATTAATTTTTCAGAGAATGTTGCCAGTGGAAGTGGGGGTGATAAATGTAATGATAATACGCAGCTAGATGTATCTGATTTTCTAGTACACCCTGAAGGTGGGTACTATGAAAATCCCGGAAATGCGATATGAAATGCATATAGATATGTGTATATATTTTTGTAACACATGTAGTTTTTGCTCCCTACATTTTGTAATGATATGAAAGCTATGTATTTTCTCCAAACTTTTGATATATTTATTCTTATATTTCTCCCAGAAGAAGAAGTATGAATGTTGAGCACGTTATAATGAATAATATGGAAGACAGTTCATGTCTCATTTATAGTGCATCAACGCACACTATTTTATTTTAAAATATAAGAAATATTTCACCAACCTGAAGTTGGAAAAAATTGAGGTGAATACCATAAGTGGTTGTGCGAAGTTAATTGAGGGCTCTGGAAGAGCGATAATATTTATCCCCGAAGGAATAAAACTTGATATCCAAAATGCACTATATTCTAGTAGATCTCAAAGAAATTTGTTGAGTTTTAATGATATTCGGAGAAATGGATATCATATTGAGACATCAAGTGAGACAAATAATGAATTTTTGTTAATTACAAAATTCATTGATGGACATAAATATATATTAGAAAAATTGCCTTCATTGTCTTCCGGATTATATTGCACAAAGACTAATGTGGTTGAGACATATCTGGTAGACAAGAAGTCTACAGATTTTATGATTTAGTATAACCGGTTTGGGCATCCTCGTAATACTATGATGAGACGAATTATTGAAAATACCAATGGCCATAAGTTGAAAGATCAAAGGGTATTAAATACAAATGAGTTTATATGTGTTGCTTGCTCAAAAGGGAAGTTAATAACTAGACCATCACCGGCAAAAGTGGAAACTGAATCCCTTTCATTTTTAGAACGAATTCAGGGTGATATATGTGGACCTGTAGATCCACCATGCGGACCATTTCGATATTTTACGGTACTTATCGATGCATCTACTAGATGATCGCATGCGTGGTTATTATCTACCCGCAATTTGGCATTTGCGAGGTTGCTTGCTCAAATAGTTAGATTACGAGCTCAGTTTCCAGATCACCCAATAAAGAAAATTCGTCTTGATAATGCTAGTGAATTTTCATCTAAGACTTTTGATGATTATTGCATGTCTATTGGAATTGACATTGAACATCCTGTACCTCATGTACATACTCAAAATGGTCTAGCTGAATCACTTATAAAAATGCTGCAATTAATTGCAAGACCTATGCTAATGAAATCCAAACTTCCCGTATCTGCTTGGGGATATGCAATTATGCATGCAACAACACTGATAAAATTAAGACCGACAAGCTATCATAGTTAGTCCCCAGTACAATTAGTGTACAATGAAAAGCTCAATATTTCACATTTGAGAACTTTTGGTTGCGCGGTTTATGTGCCAATTGCACCGCCCCAATGTACAAAAATGGGCCCCCAACGGAGATTGGTGATATATGTCGGGTACGAATCACCATCTATCACTAAATATCTTGAACCATTAACTGGTGATTCGTTTACAGCTCGTTTTGCTGATTTTCATTTTGACGAGTCGCATTTCCCGATATTAGGGGGAGAAACTGATCAACTGAAAAAGGAAATTACTTGAAAAATACCATTCAGTTTTCTTGATCCTCATACAAGTCAAAGTGAATTAGAGGTACAAAGAATTTTACATTTGCAGCAAATAGCAAATCAATTGCCTGATGCTTTTTGTGACGCCAGCAGAGTCACTAGATCTTATATAGCTTCTGAAAATGTACCTGCTAAAATTGTTATTCCTGGAGACAAAATACAAAGTGCTAATGAATCAAATGTACGCCTAAAGCGTGGCAGACCTGTAGGTTCCAAAGATAAAAATCCTTGAAAGAAAAGAGGAACAAATGAAAGGGTTGATGATTTGAATGTTAATCAAAACTCTAAAAAGACAGGTAGTAACATGGATCAGATTTCTAGAGAAATTGATCCTGATAAACTTGATGAGGATGTTAATCCTAATAGAATTTCTTCTGAAGATAATGAAATTATTGAAAATTCAATAAATTATTTTACTACTGGAAAGCATTGGAACCGAAGTGATACAATTATGGATAATGCTTTTGTATATAATGTAGCACTTGATCTAATGAAAAATGACTATGATCCAGAACCTAGATCAGTTGATGAATGTCGGAAAAGAATAGATTGGCCAAAATGGAAAGATGCGATCCAGTCTGAATTAAATTCACTGGCAAAACGAGATATTTTTGGACCCTTTGTTCAAACACTTGAAGGTGTTAAGCCTGTTGGCTATAAATGGGTATTTATTCGAAAGTGAAATGAGAATAATGAAATTGCCAGATATAAAGCAAGACTTGTTGCCCAAGGTTTTTCACAAAGACCTGGAGTTGATTTTAATGAAACATATTATCCAGTAATGGATGGAATAACATTTCGATATCTTGTCAGTTTGGCAGTACATGAAAATTTGGATATGCGTCTGATAGATGTTGTAACTGCATATTTATATGGCTAATTGGATAGTGATATTTACATGAAAATCCTGAAGGATTTAGTATGTCTGATGCATATAAATCA